ATTGATTTACAGGCAACTGAATCCAGTGGTACTGGAAAGCAATTTTAGCCTATACATCAGTTGATAATATGAGCAGCACTCAGAAAAACACATTATTTCTTAAACACGTTTATATCCATCCCCACTGTAAACAGAAAACACTTAACACAAAACCAACGTCTAAGTGCATCACAGAAACAAACGTTAAAACATAGAGGATAATGAATGCTTGATGATATGGTTAACATATTGGGGATGAGACAGGGAAGCATCAGATCTTCCAATACAGTTGAGCATCACAAAAACGGAATTGGACTGACTGTGTTTTTTTTTTTTGTTATCAACGAAATTAGTCAAAGTGTTTGATAAAATGTGCAATGGGAATTTAGTAGAGGAGGAGTATGGAATTTACGCAGATTGATATATATATATATATATATATATATATATATATGTATATACTTCATGGCATTCATTAAGGTAAACAAGGAGCAGCCTTTATAACAGCAGAGTTTAAAAAGCAGAGCAAGCAGAGTTTAAAAAGCAGAGCAATCATGTAGAATACATTCTCAATAGTCAATACTCATCACAAATCCAACACATTCTGTAACTCTAATTTGAAGAACATAAATTACGCACAAACATGTAGAAAGAATTTCATATGATAATTCAACACTGACTTGCAAATTATCAGAACAAATTAGATAATTGGAGGGCATCAGGATTCGGGAATCCTATTCTTCCAATTTTCATGGAGGAGCTCCATTTTTATATCCAAATACTTATGAGATATGATATCCTCATTCGATTCTTTCTGGGTAAAGACTTCCGCGTGTTTCTTTCGCTGTTGCTATACGGTAGGTATACTATCCAGTGTTGTATTAATTACTTGCATGTGCTGAAACTGAGATTCATTGGTAATTACTTGCCTTCTATTAGCACACTGAAACAGTTATGCTTCCTTGATCTTTCAAGGTTTATAATTACGGTGTTGCCTGAATCTCCTTGCATGCTTTAACATTGAGGTTAGGTCAGTGCTCTGATCTACAACACGGGATGAAAAGTTTGAGGCATTTAATTTTTAGATACTTAAATGGTGCTGAGAAACTTCAAATGCCACAACAATTGGGAATGATCGATTCCCCAGCCACGTGAAGAACATAAGAGTAGCGTACTTGTGCATTAGTGTCACGGAGCCCTGGATTTGCCGTGACACTTTTCTTGGCTTCTAAGGTAACATTAGCGAATATCAAGAACAATACCTTGTTGCTACTGATTAAGAATCGTGTCGTGAAAACACTAGCTATCAATTTCTTAAAGATTTTGTTCATATTTTGTTGGATTTTCTTTTGCATATTTTCGTGATCTCCGCTTATGCATAACTAATATTTTCCTGCTGCTCATTAAACACTCAGTCCAATCATCTGGGAACATGATATGATTTTCTGTGTGCTGCTTTGCTCGTATGTAACTGTATGCCCTCGGATGCTATCCATGCTGCTATTGACCTTCATTTAGTTACCCGCAGTCTGACAAAAATCTTCCTGAACCTTTTGCTAATCCTTCTGGTTGTGTCTGATAAGTTGTGGTACATTTTTGTTGGTAGTGTTTTTAGAATTGCTATTATGTTACAGAGTGCTAAACTTGGAGAGCCCATTAATTTGTGCCATGTTTTATTCTCTGGTCTCAAAGTACATACCATCAAAATCTATTTTCTATTATAAAATCTAGTTCCTGAAGCTTGTAAGTTTTGTCTTTCTGTTTTTTAAAGATTGAAGCACTTGCGCAAGCAACTATGAAGGTTATGTTGGTATGTGGACTTCTGCAGCATGTCGGAATCTGTCATGGCATCAGCTGAAGTGCTTATGTTTTAAGGCGAAATGGTTATCCATGAAGGTTATCCATGCTCTCTATCAGCTCCTTTAAAATCCAGAGTTAGTTTTGTTTTAAGGCGAGATGGTTTACCGGCTTCTGGATAGTGGTCAAAAGCTTTGGTGTTAAGGGAAAATGTAGGGAAGGAGATCATCTGACTCTCTTTTGAAGGGATTGCAGGGATAACTTGCCTTTTTCAACACACTTTGTTCCAGCTTCCGCAAAGCCTTTGTTGAAAGCTTCACAAAGATATTTTGGTAGCTGTCAGTACTCGCATAGTTTCTGATTGCAGAAGAACCACAACTTCTGCTCATCTCTAGCTTTAGTTAATATGTATTGCTGATTCATCTTTAGATTTACTTGGTCTTGCACATAATCATGTCCTTTGATTTCTGGGTGTGCGGAGAGGTAGTCTTAGCTGTTTTCTTTGGGTAGCTTTACTGATGTGTAGATTTGTATTATGCAAGTATTGTAGTTATGAATGGAAACAGATCAGGCTTTCAATGGATCTTCCTGATGAACTACTGTATGTGGTAGCTCTGTTACCTGTGCGCATGTCAGTTCGTAAACAGATATTTCGACAATGAAATCAAATCATCTGCTAAAATGGTAGTATCTTTTTTTAGGAATCTAATCCTTTTTTCACTTTGAGTTGTAAAATTGTACCTTCCTGTGAAGATTATTTCTGAACTTTGCACCAGGGCTCTCTTGTTAAACAATGATTGGAAATGGAAAGAAAATGGGAGGAAGAGTAGATGCCCCAATGTCTGAGTGGTATCACATGAGGTACTGGGCTGTGGCTCATGGCTGGCGCCATGATTTTTTTTTATTTTTTTTTTAGACTTTGAACATAAGCCTGATGAGAGTGACTTTGTCAAGGAAATTGTAAAGCGGGTGATAAAAATTCCTCTCTATAGCAGTAACTACCTTGCCAGTGAAGAATACTAACAGAGAGACTTTCTTGTGCATTGGTGGTATTGCACCAACACTAGAACTCCTCTGTATTCAAAGGTACATGGATAGTCCTCAGACTCAGCAGTTCTTTTTGTTTTCTTCTTCTTAGTCCATCTCTTTCTGAAAGAAAAGTTAGCAGCCACATCCAAAAATTGCTCCCAGCAGTGATCCTTTAAAAACTCTGGCCCCCAAATGCTAATTCCATCTATTAGCCCATCAGGCACCTACATCACTCCATTAGAAAGCAAATTGCAAGTTCGGCATCATCAGTAGGTTTGAGTTTCTTGTCACCGTTCATGAGATATGAGTATATGACACTTGACCCTTCAATCTTCTTGGTAAAAAGAGGTGTTTGGAGATGAAATATTGATGCAAGTGCAACCAACTATATATGTGCAGCAGGTGTTGCGTGGAATCGGGGCCACCTCCAAAGATTTGGGGTTTTATCATGGCATCAGTGGCAATTGAACTTCTTTACTGCTTATCGACTAACTGGTGATGAGCGATTTCTTTATCGATCTAAGGCTATCAATTGTTGTTTGCTGGACCGAGCCCACAAGCTTATGTCAGATAGGGTGATGCATGGAGGAAATACTATTTGAAGGAATTGGTGGTATGTGTATCTCTTCAACTAGACATGGTTCCACCCACGAATGCAAAATTTCTGGCTTATGAACTGTGAAGTGTTTCTTTATAACAAATGGTGTGGCAATACAAGGAGAAGGTAAGAGGCTTGACATAGCAGAAGAAGATAAAAGCAAATTCACCTTCTGACAGCTCGACATGCTTCACTGACATTGAAAAATGGGATGGTGAAGATATGGGTGCTCTTGATAGCCGGGGACCAGAACTAGGTTCTTAGATGGAGTTTTTGTATGATGATGGGTGCTAATTAGTCCTTGGGGATGTTTTTTGTTTGAAATGATCTGTCAGTTTTATGCTACTGCCCCTCAAGGATGTTGTTTTAGAGGTGTTTTTCCACACTCTTAAATCACTTTGCACTTCCAATCTTGCCTGTTTTGCAACAATTTAATTTTGTGGATGATGACTGCTTCTACAATAGAAGAAATGGTCCATGTACTACTAATCCAGTTTTTCTAACACCGATGAAGTCTGCATAAATCGCATCACATTCGATAGCATCTTATGGCACCACACAGATCAAATACAAGAAACTGCTATGTTTGGGAGGATGAGAAAGTACACAAATGGAGAACTTTGCTGTCCTTGTTACCCAGAAAGGACCTGATCAAAATTGCTACCTCATTGACTGCTTTGGTTGAACAAAACAAGTAGGAATACTGATATACTCAGTAGATCCCTTATGGTCATGTTCCCTTTAATGGTCTAGCTCATCGATGCAAAAAAAACAGGTATATCTGTCTACCAAATACACTGTACTTCACATTGACAAATTAATTTCTTCGGCAACCTAAGTCGCATATTACCCCATATATTCATTTCCCTAAGAACCCCCATACGGACTGCTGTAATTTCAGATTCTGGAAATGAACAAAAGAGCAGCATACTCAATGAACTAGAGATAAAAACCACAGCAAAATATTTAGACAATTTCAACTAATCAGGCACATCATCATCCACAATAGGTAGAAAACAGAATTTTGGCAGAGTATGCCAATTTGCCAACCAAGGGTATTTCACCACAAAGATAACATAAGAAGAATTTGTATGTTGGAGCCATAAAATGTCTACTGACTTTCAAGCTACGAAGTGCTAAAACTGTCCTTATAGCAACAAAAAATGTTCAGAATACTACAACATAACGCTGAGAAAATATGATGAATTGTTAACTTGAGGAGGCACGTAGCTGTATAACATCATGGCTCCTCTTTCTTCACCAAGCCAACGAGCCATAAAATCCACGAAGTCTAAGATTCCCATAGCTGTCAGGCATCTTTTTTTTTACTCAACATCCCCCAATCATTTGCAACTCCTCTGCTCTCCTGGCAACTGAAGTTTTTGGAGCTGTTTCATGAAACATAAGTTATCACTACCAAAGATTTTCTCCTTCAGAATTCAGATTCTACTAAGAACATAATGGAACAATGACTGAGATCATTATACTGTGAAACATGCATTTTTTTTCTTTTATCATCTCACTATAATGTACTAGAACAACAGAAGATTAAAATCTGAAATATAAATCTTTTGGTCCAAAAGAAAGTTACGAAACCTTACCGAGAAGGACTGCCATTCAAAGCATCTGTCAGTGACCCAAAGGATGGATTGAAGATCACAGCTTCAAAGAGGTAATGGGTCGTGGAAGTCTGCACAGACCCATCTGCTTTGCTTACTTCTGTGATATGCCGGTTAGCACGATCCTTCTGATAGCTGAAAACTACAATGGCTCCACAACTCAGATAGTCCAACGGTAAGCATATACAGGCCTTTCCTTGTGATGTACACTTCACATAGCTTGTCCAGGATGTCTGGTTACCATACTCTTTCATAATCCACAAAGATATGGTAGTATCATCAGCAACAGATAAGCAGAGTTGATGGTTCAGTGAACTCATCCTCAATTGAAGTTTACCATTATGGTGCAATTGATCAAATGTAGGGGGGGCAGGGAATGGTCCAAACTCATTTCTGGCGAATTCGAACCTGAGGATTGGTAGTTCAAATCCGCACTGCAACCAGTGGATATTACCGTTTAAGGTAGTTGGAGATTGAAGTTTCCCGGGATAAGGACGAGGATAACCTGCTTCTTCCCAAGTGTCTTCACCTACAATATGCACTTGAGCCACCCTTCTAAGAACGTCCTCACCCCCAATCAGAGGAATCCTTTCATAATATACTCTGACAACTTTATACCTGTGACTTTCCTGACAGTAGCCAAAACCAGAGTCCACAAACCTATTTCTATCTGTCGTTGTACCAGGAGGGATGGCTATGAACTCGCTCGTTACAGGATTCAATACCATAACTGGTTCGTTTGCCGAGTTTGACAAGCAGACCAGGCCTTGACATGCATTGACGACGTTGAATTGATCGATTCCGTTTAGCTTCAGCTTGTACCACCCGTCGTCTTGGACTGCCATACTCGGATGAATTGGTGGATGCCTCAAGGGTACACGGGTATGAAAAACAGCGTCCACATGAATTTCCTCAGGAACTTCATTACACGTGCAACTATTTGTTTGGTGCGGATCCACTAAGCAGCAAATTCTGAACGTATCATCAGGCTTATCATTCCTACAAGTTGTAGCTCGGAGAAGCAAGCAGGCTTTGGGCTGCGAGTAAACTCTGGAAAAATCTGAGCTTCGAATCAGCTTACGCCACTTATTGCACACACTCAGACAAGTCACTAGAGCCTTTGGTGTCAGTCCAAGAAAAATTTCAAGAATCAGGTCATCTGGTAAATCTTCAATAGTTGTCCCCGAATCTGTTTCTTTCAACCCCATAACCACCTCTGGTGATTCTACTACAACTCCAGGGGAAAAGAAATCAGGGGCATCCTTTGGATTCCAATCATCTGATGAAACAGACCCAAAAAGACCTCCTCCTTTCCTATGGCCTGTTGAGGCCTCCCCTGCATCCTGCAAAACAAGATCAAGATCCTCTGTCTTTTTTAATTCATTATCATGATTTCCTCTAAAATCATCTTCGCACGATTTGAAGCTTTCACCACCATCTTTCACAAAATGGGTTCTTTCTACTGGGATCCCCGGTGGTGATTCTTCAGCTTCCCAGCCTGTTTCTTGATTAATTTCCGGCTTCCCACCTGACCATCCTCTTCCCATACCCTGCCGAAGATTATTATCTTCCTTAACGCCGACATTATTATCAACTGCCTTGGGAATAACCAGTTCATCAGCAGAGATCAATTCTCGAGCGAAGTTGAATTCTGATTGTAGCAATCGTCTAGCTCTTCTTCTGTACTTCTTCTCCATCTTCCTCTTTCTGTTGTTCTTGGCCTTCTTGTGCGTAATTCGTCTACCCATTTCCTTTAAACAACAACAAAACGAATGGATTCTTGAAGCGGTTTCTTGCTTCTTCAAAACCCAAATTGAAATCCCTAATTCACGAAGATGAACAAAGTACAGAGAGAGAGAGAGAGAGAGAGAGAGAGAGTGTGTGTGTGTGTGTTGTGGAAGGCTGATACTGCTGAATTCTGCGTGGATTCTATAGGAAAAAGAATATATATACATGTCAGTAACACCATTTCAGTCAATCTAGATTCGTCTGACTTTCCTCCCTCCACAACTGCTCAGCTAAAAACGGTTAACAATTCTTGAAAATCGCATACAAGCCCCTCAATTTTGTTCGGTGGGTCTTAGTTGTTGAAATAGAATTCGGGTGAAATTATTTTGGTTGCAATATTCCCCCTTAATTTATATAGAACTTAACAATCAATACTTACTTATTCAGTCATTGTGGCACAGTCGGGCTATATTTTTTCTCCACGAACGCAGGTATTTAGTCGAAATTCAATATTATGTGTAAACCCAAAAAATAAAAAATAAAAAAATTCAATATCATGTTATTGTGTATGCTCAAGTATTTCTTTTATTATATAGATGACTTTTAGCTAACAGTTATTCCTTAATTAAAAGAATACCGAGTTTTCACCACATGCATGCTATTATTTTGCATTAGTGAGAGACAAAATAATTCACGCTTATTCTCTCATTAGATAAGAATAAAATATGATTATGAGATGTAAAAATTAAATCAATTGTTTATAAAAAAATTACTTCTCTATATATATAATAAACCCTCACAAAATAGTTAATGTTATCGATAATAAACACCATGTTACATACTATAAAAGGTCACCAAGTATTAACAATATATTGTAACACTAAGGAACAGTCTAACTCATCAACTTCGCTGCTGACATTCTGGTCCTTTGAATCTATAGAATTTGTTGACTGCCCATAAAAGAGTTTATTGTAGAATATTATGAAATATTGATGATTACAGGTTTAGATGAGAGAAAATTTGTATGAAAATAATATGTGACTTTTATAGGTTTCTGATACTAAACAAAATCCCATAGTCAAATGAGTTTTCTCCTTAATCAATGAACATAATTAACTTTCAAAAAATACAATTTGTACTCCTAAAAATAACATAAATCAAACCGAAAAATCATTTTAATACAGAAAGTATATGCAATTCAACTTGTATTCTTACTTTATTTAATGAAATTAGTTGTAACTTTTTCTTTTTATTTTTTTATTTTTTTATTTTTTTTTATAAAAAAGCGCTTTCATTGATTCCACAGTCTTGAATGAACCGTTTCATTAAGCACACATATAAAGATGAGATGAAATTTTCTTTTGGAGAATAGTTTAATTTGTAAATATTGTAACCTTCCATTTAATTTTATTTTTTTATTTGTAGATGTAAATTTATATCTTTGAAACCAGAAAATTGTATAATCGAACGAATTCAATACAAAATTGCAACTTTAAGGGAATTAGGATAAGCAAACAGTTAGTTCAATACATCATAAATATCAAATAATGAAAAACACTTTCAAAATGTATACACTAAATTTGCAGTAGGCATAAATCTTCCTCTAGAAAAATTTAATTCAAGCAGGCACTATCTGATTAGTATATATATTCTCAATGGATGTTGGTCTTGAAGTGCTTGAGCGGCCTAAATTCCTTGAGCTTCTAAATATTTTTCTTTACCTTAAAAAATGATTTGAAAAAAGTGTTTAAATACAATATATATAGTACATAAGAACTCCTGTATTCTTCAAATGCTTGGTCATATTTTAAAAACTAATCTTCAAATTAAACATTTTCGAGAGCCGCTTTTTTCAAGCCAAAGAATGATCCAATCTTTTTGTTCATGAAGTTTATAACAATATTTCCCCACATTTTCCTACAAAACATAAATAAACTTTAATTAGACATAAAGCACGTAATTAGATTGCAAGACGACAAATGACTTATTTACGTATATCGGAGCACCGGAATCTTTTCTGCCAATTATGACAAACAACAATAGGCAAATAATGTGACAAAACCAAAAACATAATACGACACTTGTAATATATCCAATCTTTTTTTTTATCAACCCCATTGGATCACTGATTTTATTGTACAGTAAATTATGAACGAGATTTCTAAAGGTGCTTAAGGAAATTCGATTCCAGTAACGTGTAATTCTTCTAATTTCCATCATACAATAAACATCATTGTTTTTTAATATTCTGGATGTATTAAAATTAAAAGATATGTCTAAATTTCAAAAACATTCATTCTTTACTTGCCACTCACATGTCCTCAAAGAGTCAATCATAACTGCAACATGAGAATGTGAGATCATTAAGTTTGAAAACTTGGCGGAGAGAAGTGTTGGAATAATCCAAATACTGTAGAGACCTTCACATCAAATTATTGAGAACTATATGAAAGCGGAAGCGTACCTTAATCTGTAGCGGCAAGAACATCGATCCGGGTTTGATCTTCCAGATAATTCCGTCAGGCTCTTGCGGGAACCTCTGACAAATGGAGAGTCGAGATTTGACATGACGGCTCATCTGGGGACCACAACCAATATATAATAGGGTTTCTGGTTCCACCCATCACAGAACAGGAAACTAGACCTTAGGGTTTCTACACAATACTGGGCCACACCTTATAACTTAATTATTATAATTAGCCCAAACTTTAGTTGATTTAATTAGATCACTTTATGTGGGCTAGTATTTTATGATAACTTATAACATACAATTATATATATTTGTGTATAAAGTCCACATAGATCTTACAAGAAGTTGATCGGCAAATAGATCGGGCGATTGCAGCACCAGAGGCAATGACCATGGCTATAAACAACCCCTGGAGCCTAGTTTAGAGTGCACCATATTCATCTATTACAAAATTGTCACAATGTGAATAGTAACAAAATAATCCATCATACAATTATCATCAAATTAATGCTACCTAGTAAACTTACAATAGAATCAATAAACGGGAATATTAAATCAGATGAAAGGTAAGATTACCCGTTGTTTACTCCATCAGTGCTACAAACCTTTACTGACTACCGTTGTTTAATAGTGTAAAGGGGCTATGGCTGCCTAAGAAAAGATTGGCGTGGATGGGAAATTTGTATACTGGTGTCTATTAAGCGTCCATTAATGTCAAATTAATAACATTGAAGTTAATTTGCCTTACATTAGGATAATATTATTTTATGAAGTTGGCTTTTTTGTGAATTAGTTTACACCAACAAAGAGATTTTGATAATATTTTCTAAGGTTTATTCATTTGAATTAATTAGTTATTTATAATGATTGGTTTGTATGTATAATTATTGCATTCAATCTTATCTTAAAAATTCAAGTAGTAATATTTTTTTTATGCCATAAGAAGTGGGGGAAATTGGGCATAATTGCGGACGATTATTAACATGCTGTAAATTCCTAATTGGGCATGCATGAATTTGGAAACTTATTTTGTCTACTTCAAAGTAGCACCTACTTGATCGTTCAGACTATGAATTATCAATTTTCCATTTTGAACTTCGGTTTTAAATCAATCCAGTACTAATTTTAGGATATTTACTATACACGGGAATTTTTAGCATTAATTTAATCAATAATTTCTGCAATAGTTGATTGGGATATTTTGATATGAAAACTATAATTATGGATAGTTATTGGATACATTTAATGTTAATTGATTTAAATAATTATGATGAATGTGCTAATATGGTATATCCAATATTTTTTAGGGACTATTATTTAAATACAAAAACTTTTTTTCCTCAAAATTTTGGGAAATTGTCACATAAGATAAAACGTAAAATCTCTCCTTGAAACCTCTCTCTTATTTCTCTCTTAGTATAATACTATAGATGCACTTGTTGAAGTAAGTAATAAACCTGAAAAAAAAAATTAAAACAAAAAAAAAAGAACAACAAGTGAGCTTGCATGGTCTGGTTCAGTCTCTATGGTACAACAAGTTCCGTTGTTAAATATAAAATTAATTTAGTTTATTAGTAATATAACAATCAATACGGAAAATATTAAAAACTAAATAAAAGTATTAAATAAAAAAAAGATGTGTGACTATGATTCTTCTATTGAATTAATCCACACTAGATTTAAGCTCCTGCATTGCACATGTTATTTTAATTCTCGGAGTGTAGTTGCAAATTTATGATACTACTAGCCCTATCTATGTCGTGGGTTACGCGACCATTTCGTTTATTTATTTGATATTAAAAAAAAATTTGAATTGGCCTAATACTATAATTAAAATTGTGTTTGAGATCAATACAAAAGCAACTTAAAAAAAATTATAAATAAGAGGAATTGAAAGTGGGAAAAAGTTTATTGCATTTCTTTTTAGAACTCTATCTCAAGAAGTCAAACTTAATTTCCGCACTTTTTTACATTATGCATGTTTCTTTAAAACAGTTTATTTTCAATAAATAGATTTCATAATTTTGAACACTACAGTTTTAAAATAGTTTATTTTCAGTGAATAGATTTCATTTTGAACAGCACAGTTTTTATATCGCAGTTAGCATAAACATGTCACATCATGGTAGACTAATTGTAATTACTAATATCAAAGTTCAATCTAGAAAATATGACTTCTTTATTATACTCCCCCCGTCTCATAATTGTTGTCCAGTTTGAGTTTTCATTTCCAGTTCAAATTGTACTAAATGTAAAATTTCAAAGTAGACAATAATTTTGGGACAGAGAGAGTAATTAATTGGAAGTTTTTAAAATATTAATTGTTTTTGGAAACACAAAGGTCACGTTCATTTAAAATTGTCCTACAAATCAGGCTTTCAGAAGTTATCTTATAATAATTATATTTGACTTTTCACCTATATATACTATATATATAGATGTATTTGGTTCACATCAGGTTTTGGGACTTATACATCAGACTGATCCAAAAGACCAACCCTACAGGTGCAGATGGCTAAAATCTATTTTGTGGTTCTGAAAGAAGGTTTTGTTCTCGGTCAGGTAAGGTTTAATAATTTAATATGTACATTTTATCCAATACTTTGATCATATTTTTTCAAAGCTTTTACAATCTATTGTTTATGTAGGAAATTCTTCTGCTTAGTGCTTTACCACAACATAACAATTCCCTTAACGAAATTGAAGTTGTAACCAGTAATGGACACTTCAGGGTTACATGCGGTCTGAATTTTCGCTCGCTAGACTGCAATTGTGTTTGTTGGGAAGTCATGGTTAAATTTTGTTACAACACATAAATTGCTCATTTATTATGCTATGTATTTAACCGTCCGAGAACCAGGGGTACTTCAATTTATTATTTTTAATTAGAACCGTAACCTCACCAGCAATTCAGCTCCACGATTAACATGGAACAATTTCAAAGACATACAAGATAGAATGGTATGATACTTCACTGAATTTTAATTTTATTTACAAGTGTAATATCCAGAATACCTTTATTTCATTAATGGATTCATTATGGTATTCATACATGCTAATAACCCAAATATACAGATTATACCAGCAATGTTCAATGAATTGCTGATGGAAGACCATCTTGTCAATCACTCAAATGCTTCATTTTGGTCTCTCGATTATGGTGAATACACATGTACAATTGACATCGATTATTCAGAAGTAATAAATGATAACAGAATTGTTATTGCTGGAACTGAATGGAAGAAACTGTTATCTGATCATGAAGAAAATTTGAAGGACGCTACATTTGCAATTTTGAAATACGATGGAAATATGCGTTCACAATTCAATTTTCAAAGCAAATGGAGCAGAAATGGAGCAGAAATTGAGGGTCCTATAACTGTCATTGAAGGATACCGTTTCAAAATCCATATTGCCGATAACCATTGCAAGAATAAGGCTATTGTAAGTTGTTTAATTCATGTAGTTACTTTTGCATTCGTTAGTTTTCTCATTAAACGGCTACTTTGCGTTTGTAATCATTTTGACTGACTGTTCCTGCTAACTTTTGGAAGCGGCACAAGAATATTGTGTTTAAAAGAATAGCTGAAAACCATACGACTGCAGGACCTTATCATATGCAATTTCACAAAGCTTATGATCAAAGGTGCACTGGGACAAAAGTTTGTCAATTGCAAATGGCAGGGGAGTGGTTGAAATTGCTCAATGACAATGCTATACCAACAGGTTGCCTATGTGAATTCCATTTGGACAGGGATAGTGTCCAACCAAGAAAAAGTGATGTCAAGTTTTCGTTTAGTTTATGTAACTGATATAGAATTTTACAAATTTAAGACAATGTTTAGTGTAATTTTATTTTTTTTTATTTAAAAGTCTTTCAGTTATTAAGAACAATTTTCATTTGTCATATTAATGTTTTCATATATGTATTTATTTTTTCCTGTTATATATTAAAAAATAATATAATTACCAAGCCAAGATATTATCAATCACATTTATCCTCTAATTTAATACTCTAATAAATTTTCCACATATTTAGTAATATATGTGAATTGAAACATTGCCATAAATATAACACAATTTGAATTTACATCATAATTATGGATTAATTACAGTTTGAATTTACATTATAATTATGAATTAATTCAGAAAATGATTCTATACTCCTAATTTAATGTAGAGTTGAAAAGGTGTCATTGTGTTTTTTATATATATAAAGTTTAGGTTAACTCAAACTATGATTCTATGGTCCTAATTTTGGTGAATGAAATGAATGGGTGTCAGTGAAACTAGGAATACGTAGCAGATGCGTTTCCAGACTTTTGAAGTCATTTTTTTTTTTTTGAAATTATCCACGAGTGGTATAAATGACCCTAAGCTCTTATCATTCAAAGGTTATAAAAAGGCCAAACACAAAGAACGCGAAGGAATACGATCATTAAACAGGTTTTCACGTTTACCTAAGCCAAATACATATGGTATATATTCACCTTGAAGTCCTGAATAATATTCAATTTCAATTTCAGGTGTAACACAAAATGGAGGAAGCTTATGAACATTTGATTGATGTTCCAGTTGATATTCAAAGGAAAGGATTGGTATATTTCTAAATACTTTCATTGTACACTTTTGGTTCTACACCATAAATTTTTTACTTATGTTACATGTTGTATGCAAATTACTAGATCCTTAGCAGTAATCTTGCTGCAATTATTAGACATATCAGAAAGTAGATCAAAATTGAATTTCCAAGAAATCGTTCCGTGTTTGCTAATCTTCATATTAATAAGAAAAGCAGATGTCAGTTCTATGGATCTGCTCTAGAAGAATTTTTGGCAGAGATTGGTGTTTCTCATACATCAAAGTTACATATTGTTTATCAGAGATATGCTAATGTTATTCAAATATTTTATTTTAATTATGATGGATGTCAACGGCTTCGATCAGATTTGTATTCAAACACTGGGAACCATTACCCGCTCAGTTTAATGAGAAATCATTGAAGCAGGGCGTAAGTTTTATTTATATGACGATTCAAGGCTATTTTGTTTTACTATACAATGTTTACAACTTGTTTGTATATGATTTGTTTAAATTATCAACTAATATTATATTCATGAAACATATAATGTAGGTTGTTGATAAGAATTTCTTTTTTGGAATAGACTGGCCTTCTGATCAAAACATAGCAAGAGCTATTGACGTTAAGCATAACGATTGAGAATTTCATATTTACAGGGAAAACAATGAAGCAACGGGTTTTGATGGCACTAAGTGGGAGAATTTACTGACTATTACTATAATCTGCTTAAATGTATTAATGTAATTGTTATTTACATTGGAAACTTATATTTCCATTTAAGGGTTTTCAATAATGAAAGTTACTGTTGCAACCTTGACATTGATGCTTCAAATACATTTGATGGTGAGTTAATGTTAATTCATAAGAAAATTCTTACATTTGTAATGATATGATAACTCACATTGTATACATGTTATTATTACTATTTAATTTTTTATATAGGTGAGATTGAAACAGTTGAATACCTCAAAAGCAACGGTGATTAAAATACGTTTTCTGCACTTATGACTAACAATCTAATTCAACAGAGCATATAGGTGAGAAACCGACCTTTATATCACTTCAATGCTATACATTTGAAGTTTTCGTATATGTCGTTCTATGTTTAATATCACCCAATTTCATGTATATATAAATGTTCGAGATTTATTTATTTATATGATGTTCCAGGAAATACCATGGCACATGATCAGAAGGTTGAATTTAGAAGACTCATTTAGTGCGATAATCTACTATGATGGAGTTCTTGGAATACACATGCAAGTTATTTTAAGAGCAGACAACCACTATTGCTTTGTTATTGAAGGAGACATCCTTTTCAAAAAAAAAAAGGAGACATCAAGTATATGATGGATCTCATGAAAATTCCAGTTGGTATAACTTTGGGGTTTCGTATAGATGCTCGCAAGGCAGCTAACAAGGAATATTTGATCCTAAAAATTCTATATATGTTTAATTATTATGCGGTTTGGTTTTTACATTATTAGTAAAAACTATGGTTATGTATTGTTTTACATTAAGTTTAATTTTATTTATCAATCATGTGTATTTAATTCGAATTATAACTTCTATTTTAGTTTGTGGTTTTATTTATGAAATTATATCTCTATTTAACGTAAAAGTACTGGTGACTCATTACATTGTCAGGAAATCAACATTTTTAGCTATTAAAATATTAACACTACAAAGCAAAAAGTATATTAAAAGAAATCGTATGGTTTATTGCATGGACGAAATTCATTAAAATATTTTAGGACACTACATATGTGTTATTAAATAAAACACTGTATAGATGGAAAATATTTCACAGTTAAAACTGACATGTTACTATATTTGATACACACACACACACACACATAGATATATGATAGTGTATGATTTGAGTCACATATATTTATGATTGATTGGAAATATTATTGGATAATTACTATAATTATCTACATAAATGATTTCAAACTTATGAAGTATTCTGATAAAATGGAATATAACTTTTTCAAAAACATTTAACCTTTGAAGTTGTTATTATTCTGTATCCATTAGTTGGGTGAAACAGTTCTGATAAAAATTAGAAAATGGTGAATGCTCGGGCAAAAGAAGCCAGATTGTTCAGAAAGCAGATCCTAGATAGTAAAAGATTATCAATTATCCCACAGAAAAGATGTGTGACTATTGCCAGACCAATTAAATTACAAAACAATGATTGTCTAATACGTGCTAAGGTTGCAAGGATGAGAAGAAAACAAATATTGTCCCAGATCAGACTGATTAAGATACTGAAGACGCAAGGAATTGGTGTGTTGGATTCAATTTCAGCACAAATCAGGAACACTGAGTGTGCTAAATGCGCAAGGAAACGAAGAAAACAAATATTACACCAGAGCAGATTGTAAAAGGGGTTGGAAATAATGGCGAAAGCAGTGCCTGAAGTTATAACGATATCAAAGGACGGAGTTTTCAGTGGTACTTTCTTATTACTCTAGGATAGTTAAATAATTTACATAGGAGTGTACATAACGTATAAATGAGTATAAATTTTTTTGTTAGTATACTTGAAATATTTGTTTACATATTTTTTTTCTTGGTTTGAAGGATTTGAGTCTTCTTGGCTTCATGAAAGATGTTTTTTTTTTTTTAATGAAATGTTAATCAATCAAGAGCCAATAGGAAGCAAATTTTGGATAATAAAAAGGGAAAAGCAGTTCCAAAAATGAAACATGTTATTACCGGTGGTGTTGTTATATATGACTCAATTCAATTAACAAGCAATAGTTTGCAAAAATCAGGACATATTGGTTCTGCTAATTCAACAGGTATACAATATATATTTGTTTACTTTCTGTTTCTACAGTGAGTTAATTTACAGTCATACCTTATAAGTTTCCCTCCGATTTGAATAACGGATATCCATGCATCACAACTGCAGATGAGACTGTGTTGTATAGAATGCCACAATCTACCTAAGAGAGCACTTCCAATTGGAGGAAAAATATATTGCAACCTGAGAAATGCAAAGTTAATCAGAATAAAATATCATACCTAAACACAAGTATTATAAGTAAAAGATAAATGTACTTATGAATTGCATTAAATATTTATGAATTGTATTACAATTTTTTTTTTATTGTAGCATACAATAATCTGAGAGATCCAACATACGTTTGTGAATTTTGTGATGCTAATATGTGGTATGCAGAAAGAGCAAACAAACAAAGAAGAGAGTTACATCCTAAATTCTCCATATGTTGCAGAAAAGGGCAACTACACTCACCTTTACTGCAAGAACCACCTGCTCAGCTAAAAGATTTGTTCATGTCTAATGATGCAAAGAGTAAACATTTTCTGGAAAATATTCGAACATATAATAATATGTTTGTATTTACGTCAATGGGTGGTAACATTGTAAATTCAATCAATGATGGTTGTGCGCCATATGTATTCAAAATACAAGGACATAATAACCATCTGATAGGTAGTCTACTTCCAGAAGATGATTTGAGGCTAAAGTTTTCTCAGTTATATATTTATAATACTCAGAATGAAATCGACAATATGATTGGAGCTTTAAGGTACAGTTAGAAATTCATTTACAGTCAAAATACTTATATGGCTTTTTAAAGCTTTTGGAATTACAGTAATTTGAAACGAAAGTGTTGATTATAAAGCATTGCTGAAATGTAATTGCAGTTCAGGTAAAACTCAACCAAGAATGCAACTTCTAGATTCACAGATTGTAAGTGACATCAAAGAGACAATGGACGAACACAATGTGTTGGTTAAAACATACAGAAACGTACGTAATACTCTATAGGCAGAGTCTTCGGCTGAAATCAAACTGAAACTTATTCCAACTAGAGACACAGATGCCAGAACACATAATCTACCAACTGTTGATGAAGTCGCAATTACTACTAGGTGATAAAGGCTACGAATCTGAAATGAGAGATATCATAGTTTAGTATAAATCTGGAGGACTGTAGTGCATAAATGAATTATACCCTTCGTACATTTGACTACAATATCCTCTGATTTTTTCGTATGGTGAAGTTTCAGAATCAATACATACAACTTGGAGATCCAGATGTTGATTCAGATGATGATGAAGATGATGATGAGG